AAACAGGATCACAGAATGTGGAGTCTCCCTCCAAGATGACAAGGCTCCGGTGGCTCCAGGCAGAGAAAAAACACACGAATGAAGGAAAAAAATCAGCTGCTGAGAGTCAGGCCCTGCTCCCATACACTGAATCTTGTTTCATCATCCAGTCTCGGGCCTTCTGATCAGGGCAGCCATCAGACACAGCCAAATGTGGCTTTTTAAACGTAAGTTAATTAACATGAAATAAAATTACCAGTTCAGTCGGCACTAGCCACATTTCAAGCGCTCAAAAGCCACACATACCCAGTGGTTGCACGTGTGTATATGTGCACTTAGCCGTTCAGTCACGTTCGACTCTTGGTGACCCCATGGGCTGTAGCCCAGCAGACTCCTCTGTCCATGGGATTCTCCAGGCAAGAATGCTGGAGTGGGGTGCCATTCCCTTCCTCCAGGAGATCTGCCCGACCCAGGGATCGAACCCGGGTCTCCTGTATTGCACACGGATTCTTTACCGTCTGAGCCACCAGAGAAGCCCAGCTCATGGTTAGGGGACAGCAAAGGTCCAGAACGTTCCCCACCATTACCGGGAGTGCCAGGACAGTGCAGCCCTAGATGGTCTTCCCAGGGGTGTTATTTTGCACACCCCACTCCCCCATTTAAGGATAAGAAAACTGAGGCCAAAAGGCTTTTAATGGAGGGGAGCAGGATTTGAGCCAGGTTTGATTCAAAGGAGCCCTTTTGGGAAACATCCCCCATCCCCAAGGGTAAGGGGAAGCTCAGCCCTTCCCCAGGAGGCTCCTTGTGTCCTCCCCATCAGTCTTCCCCCACTTTCCAGCCTGCCTGAGCCCTCCAACTTCAGTTCCCAGCAGGCACTGGGGAATTAAAAGCAGAACAGAAAACCTTGGCCTTCAAGGGCCCAGGTCAACCTGGGCAGATCTGGGAATCACCAAGCAGTCGGACAGGAGAGGAGCCTGCTGCCTCCAGAGAGCAACAAGCCCACGCGTGGGGTTCAAATGAAGAGATTATTCCATAAGATTCTTCCCAGCAGCCTTTTAGAAAGAAGAATAGCTTGCATCCAACCAGCCCGTCAGTGAGGACCTAGGTTGAACAAAAATTCTACACGGTGGAAGCCTCCCCTCTCCAACGGTGGAAGCAGGAGGGAGGGGCAAAATAACAACAGCTCCTATGATATATCATGACATCCATCAAGTCCTCATAACAATAAAACCAGAAGTAGAATCATCATCCCCATTTTAGAGATAAGCAAACTGAGGCCCAGAGAAGTTAAATAACCCATCCAGAATCAACACAACTAGAAACTGAAGAGCTGAACATTAAACCCAATGCTCTAGCTTTCTGCTCTTTAATCCTCTCCCCCTACCCCATGGCCCCAGTGGGTAATATGCCCATTGTACAGACCAGGGCACCCAGACTCTCAGGGGGGCAGGGATCAGTCCCAGGGAACTCTGCTTGCACAAGGCTAAGCCGGGGCGGCAACTCACTGAAACTTTGCAATGATCAGTGGTGCGAATCTCAGACAAAACACTCCCAGACTGTCCTCTGCTGTTGGTTCAGGATGATTCTTTAGGGACCTATGAACTGAAAGTTCCCAAATTCCCTCCCCCTGGGTGTGGTGGTGGGGAAGCGCCCGGGCAGAAAAGCCTCACTTTTGACTAAAAGAAAGACAGTGATGATGATTTTGATCATCATAAGAAAGGCACACTACCTTCTGACCTTGGGGCTGGCCTGGCACCTCTGACCTGCGCCCTCATCTGTAAAACCGGAAAAAGCTGTCATCCGCCCCAGGACTTCTCAAGGTCTCCAGCTACAAAGAACCCCAGGGCTGCCCGCCAGCGAGCAGGAGCTCATCTGATGCAGTTTTCTGGAGTCCCATAATACGCCATGCTAAATAATTCAAAACCATGTTTTCATTTCAAAATAAACACAGCCCTGTCGCCACAGCGAATGCCAAATTTGCATGAATGTTTAAGATAAAATGAGACTTCAAAGGAACTTCAGACCTGCTTCTGGCACTGTCCCCCTCCCCGAATCCTGGGGAGAACAAGTTCTCAGTCTCCAGCCCCGCAGGGCAAAGATCTATAGGTGCTGCTCAAATAAGAAACATCATTTCTTTCTTCCTGTCTTCTCCGGCAGCTCCACTGAGCAGGTCTGCAGTATGTTTATTCTTGCTGCACCAAGGCGACCAAGAGTAATCCCAGGTCTTAATTCTTATTTCCACATCCAAACTGTGTGACCTTGGGCAAGTTACCTAACCTCTCTGCTTCGTTTCACCATCCATAAAATGGGATGATATGAGCCCTGACCTCACAGCGCAATAATGAATAGTAAACAGATTCCTGATGAAGGTGGACCTGGCACATAGTAAGCACTTTATATATGTTGGCTGTTATTATTGGATTATTAAATCATCTTTAGTATTTTTCAGCTCCTGAACCAAAACTTCACTTGACAGGTTGTAAAGTCCCTTCCCCACCTCCAAGGATCCTCCAAAAATGCCAGATGACCTTTCCTAAACATCACTTCCTTGGGGGACTCTGCATACCCACTCATGGAAGAAGCCTTTTAAGAGGACTCCCCTGGTCTGACCCTGGGCAGCCTGGCCCTCCCCAAGCAGGCAACCCAGGCTCCCGTCCCCTCCTGGCCCCCTTCCCTGGGCGCCCAGGGCAGAAATGACCAGTTCCTCCAAGCTGTTTCCCTGGCAGGGAGTCTGGTCTTGAAGGTATCACCTGGGGAGGCTGCTGTTGGCATTAGAGAGATGAAGAGGAAATAGAGGAGGAGGGAAAAACACACACAAATAAAAGCTCTCAGCCCCCTATTGTCAGAGGCAGCATTTGATGTGGGGGATTTACGGTTCAGAGAGCTGTTGGAAGGATGGGGTGAGAGCTCCAGGTCTCTTGCTGGAGCATCTCTGCTTCTTACAGAAAGGAGACCCCTCCTGCTGGGTTATGCCTAGCAGCACTCCCCCACTCCCCCGCCCCGGCCCAGCGAGAAAAAAAATTCTCAGAGTGAACCAACTTTTCCACCCACTGCCGGGTTGGGAACACAGCACAAGGTACCCCACCACCAACCACCTGGCAGTCAGAGGGGATCAGGTCCAGGCAGCCTCCATCCAGCCTGAATGGCAAGAAGCTGGGGGCCGGGACTCCTGGGGCCTCTTTCCAACGCCAGCCAGAGGGCAAGTGTGAGCCCGGCCAATCCCCCCAACCCCCATGCCGGGAGAACAATCAAGCCTTCCTTGCTCGGGCCTTTCATGCAGCTAAATTCGTGTTTGCAGAGCCCTCAGAAATCTTTAGGAGGTGGTATGAGTATTATTAATTGGGGAAAAAAGAACGGATTATGCCAAATAAATCCTTCCCACGTAGCCAAACCCTCGCTGAGGGAAAGAGGGAGGGTGCGTGCTGCCCCTTGAGGGGGTCTCCATCCCTCACCGGAGCCTGACAGCCACATTACCATTTACATGGCTTTATCAATAGTATTGATCCCAGAGCAAGCGTAAATAGCTCGGTGGGAAGAGGCGGGGGCTGGGGCCCGCTGGGTACCCGCCTCCACGTCTGGGCACCGCAGACTCCCCGGGCACCCGGCGGCGGCGGTGGTAAATTTCCAAGCAAAGACAAGGCAGCCGGCGCGAGGAAGCCAGACAGCGCCCGGGATGCCCTGGCAGCCGCCGCCACCGCCGCCTCCGATTCCTCGCTCACAGCCGGCGGCCGGCCCCAGCGTAAATCCCACAGCCGGACTCAGTCTGTGTATCTGTTCAGTGGGCTGAAGGCACCGCCTGCCCTTCTCTTGTCCTCATGGGGATAAGTCAAGGGGTTGGGGAGTGGGTTGCAAAGAAGTCCCTCTCCCTTCATCACACCTTCTGGCAAAATGCACGGCCGCCCCTTCTCATCAAATTTCCAGGCCATTGAGGTAAAGACCAAGTTTTAGAACTCAGGAATAATAATAATAACAACAGTAACTGGTGATACATATACAAGCACCTTCTATGTATTTCCACCCTCGGTTCTCACAACAACCCTCTAAACTCAGTATTATTATTATCATCCCACTTTGCAGATGAGAAGCCTGAGGCACAGGGAGGTTGAGTAATTTGTCCAGAGTCACACCGCCAGTAGTGGCAAAAGTGTGATTCCCACCAAAGGCGATACGTTGCAAGAGCCGGCTGTGAATGGTTCAGCTCCCCGGGTTCAAGGTCTCTTACTTTCCCAGAGGGCTCTCCCCCTACACCTCAATCCCAAAAAGAAAAAAAAAAAGGCCACCCACCACGAGGTACATAACAATGCCCAGGGACGTCCTCCCAGCTCACTCCAGGCCCGGAGAACCCCTTCTATCAAAGCAACCGCGGGGACCCAGATCTGGTTTAAAAAGGGCAAAGTCAAGGCCACGGATAACACAACCCCCAACAAGCCCAGAACTCCCTCATCCAGACTGCAGGGCTCCCCTCCCCGTCCCTCCTCCCTGCCTCCCTCACACATCCTTCCTCCAAATCTGCAAAAGGGGGGGGAAAAATCATAATAAAACCAGTTCTCACCAACAGGGGGGAAGGAGGAGGGGGAGGAAGCGAGGAGGCTGAGCCGACAGCACAGATCCGCCTCCGCTGCCTGCACCAGACCCTCAGAGAGCCGGAGCGCGCGACAGGCGGCTGGAGGGCCCTCGCTTCCAAAAAAATAAACCTACAATGTAAAAATAACGCCGGGCGCCCCACGCTAATTGAGCCCGGGCGACAGCAGCTCACAGGTACAGCGTGTCTCGCCTGCCCGCCCGCCTAGACCTCTCTCGCTCCCTCGGGCTTTTTCCTGCAAGCGTCCGGGGTGGGGAAGGCGCGCCCCACGGGTCTCCCCCCTCAACTCCCCGCCAAGTCTCCGGGGGTGCTCCCCCAGCACTAGGACCGGGGGCCTCCGGGTCCAGGCCAAGTGGGATCAGTTCTGAATTCCAACTTCCCAAACTAGTGGCATCCCAAGTATCCGCACAGCCCGGGGGAGGGACCAGGAGGCGGCCCCATGAGGCGTCACCAGCCGCGGGAGGCAGGCCCAGACACCAGGAACACCGGCCCACGGGGGAGGGGGGAGCAAGGGGCGCCTCTCCCCGGGGACCCCGACCCAGAGCCCTCCGACCCCTCGCCCAGGAGCGGCCACGCCAGAAGCCCCCCGCCCCCCGTGGCGGGAACCCCTCCCAGGCGCCTTCCACAGCAGCCAGGCCGGGGAGCCGAGGGTGCCATCTCCAGGGGCACCCCCGAGCTGCACTGACCGATGGAAAATAAGGCGCAGTGTCACCCCCCAAGTCCAGGGCTGCTTGGAGAGGAGGGAGGCGCATGGCGGCCATGCCCCCAGGGCTGTGGCACACGGCGGGGGGCTGTCCTGCGCAGTTACACGGCACCCCCCCGTCCGCCCACCCCCCACGCCACTTCCCTCCTTCCCGTCCCCTCGCAGGGGAGCTGGAGTTCCCCTAAGTTCCCCGGCACCCCCACGCACGCGGGCCGCAGTGTCTATGGGGCGCCTCGCTCCCCAGCAGGCCACCCCCCGAGAGCGCCAACTCGGGAGTGCAGGGGCCCCGCCAACTCCGCCGCGTGCGCCGACCGATCTTCCCCGATTTCCCCGGAAGCGCGCCCCGCGCCTCACCCCGGCCCTCCACGGGGACCCCCGGCCCCAACTCACCTCGCTGAGGTGGCGGCGGTGGCGCCCGGGCTCGGGGCGCGCTCGGGCCGCCCGGGCGCTCAGGCAAGTGGCGGTGCAGATCGGGCTGGGGGCGCGCAGCAGGCCCGGCCTCCAGCCGGGGCACGATCCTCCCGCCGCCGCCTCCTAGGGCGCTAGCCCCGGGTCCCCGGGCCGCAACTTGGCGCGCATCGCGGGGGCGCAGGGCGCGGGCGCACGGCTCGGGCGGGGCGCGGGCGGACACTGGGCTCCGATGCGGCCCGGCCTGCCCGCGGCTCCGCTCCCCGGCGGCGGCGGCGGTGGCGGCGGCGGGAGGGGGAGGAGGGGGCGGGGCGGGAGCCCGGGAGGCGGCGGCTCGGCCTCCCGGCTCCTGGCTCCCCGCCCGCACCGACGCGCCCCGGCCCGGCCCCCTCGGGCTGCTTAAAGGGCCCACGTCGCCTCCCCCGGGCCTGCGCGCACCCACTCGCGCGTGCACACGCTGCCACACAGACACACACAGGCTTGGGCGCGACGCCGAGTTTCTTTTTAGCAGCTCCCTGAAGGAGGAAGGAGGGGGAAAGCGCCTCCCCATCCCGCCCCCTCCTCCTCCTGTGGGCCGTGCGCCCTCCTCTTCCCCAGCCCCAGATACTTCACTCGAAGTATAATCGCGTTTCAGCTATTAAATTATCAGTCTAACTCTGGAGTGACCAGTGGATGGGGAGGGGGCGTACGAGGAGGGCCACACACAGGACCTTTAAGGGACCCACACAGATGCGAGGGGACACACGCGGTGGAACTCGCTCTGGGGGTCTGGCACACAGTAGGGCGCAAGACTCTCACCAGTGGACCTTCACACACTGGGCCTCAGAGAGGAGAGCTAACCCAGGTGGGCACGAGGGAAAACGCGCAACCACCCTCCATCCTCCACCCCCACCCCGCAGACGTGAGCGTAGCCTGGGACTTAGACTCCTAAGACATAAGGTCACCCGCAGATAAACAAACCCCGACACAGGCAGGAGTTCACGCACGCGGACGCGCGCACACACACACACACACACACACACACACGAATGTCAGTTTCTAGAGGGCGAGGATTTCTGTGTTCCTTGTTCTTTCCCAGTTAGGGACGCAATGTGTTGCAAGAACTCCCAGTTCGGGACTTTGAAGGGACACAAACGCAGACACACGATGCTGCAAGTGTGTGGCGGGCACGGGAGGCCAGGGTCACAGACGAGCACACATGTGGACACTCGCCCGCGCACACGCAAGCGCTCACCGCTCCAACAGGAACCCCACGGGCAGCCCTGACAACCGGTGTGTCCTCATTTACCCCCTCCTCCTGCCCCTCCCGGGCTGCTTTCTCAAAGCCGGGGAGATCTTTTTAAACAGCAGAGGGCACCGGGAGCCCCAGACCGGGACCCTCCCTCCTCCTCTGCTTTCCCCTAAGAAGTAAGAGAGTTTAAATTTTTTTTTTTTTTTCGGTTCAACTTTCCTTTTTTGGAGCGACGTCTCAGCAGATTCAGTTCTGCCATCTGCCAACATCTGAGAACCCCCAGGGGGAGTGGGGAATGGCTGCGGTGGGGAGGCGGCCATGCGGTTTCCAGGGGCAGGGCGGGCCTCCGCCTCCAGCGTGCCTGCAGGGGTTCTCGGCCTCCGTAGTAGCTACGTGCCCCTCGGCCCCCTCTGGCTGCTCGGGCTCTTTTTTTTTTTTTTTTCTGGGGATGGTGGGGTGGGAAGCACCTGAGACTGACAAAATCTGGGAAAAGGGAAGTGTCTGTGAGGGGCTGAGGGATGGAACAGTAGGTGGTCTCAGGTCAATGAATGTCCCCTCCCTTCCCATCCTGGCCCCACCAGCTCCAGAGGTGCCCAGCCAGACCATGGGAATCCACAGGCCAAGAGCCAGACCTAGGGAAGGAAGGACTAGCCCTTCAGAGGGGCCTGGAGGAAGGAATGAAGGGGAGGAACTGGAGGGGGTGGGGGGTCACACCCCACCAGGCAGACTCGGAAACCCCCACCCACGTGTCACCTGGGAACACTCTCTGGAATTTGCATTTCAATGAGATTTGGTTCTGGGGTTTGGCACCCAGGGGTGGGGAGGGGGGTACTGGGGGTAAATTCAGGGGTTCCTTCTTCCAGCTTCTGCCTCCCAAGTGTTGCCATTGGGCTTTGACTGAATCTGGGGGAATAAGAGGTCAGGCAGGCAGGGGGACTGTCAGCTTTGTAATGTCCTGAGGTGGAAGGTGTCACTTGGAAACCTCTCAAAGAGTCAAGCAGACACTCAACCATCCTCTACCCTCTGAACCTACCAAGTTACAGGTGGAAACACCCAGACCCCTAGAAGGGGCAGCATTTTTCTGCAGAGGACCTGGCCTCTTCCTTGCCCACTCCTGTCTCTCATGATTATTAATCCCATCCTCAATGGACAACAGGGAGCAACACAACTGCTTGTTCTCAGAGTTCATGAATTCCCCCCGAAATCCTCAGATGGGGGGTCGGGGGCTCCTGAGATGGGTACCACGATGCAGATGGGGAAACTGAGGCCCTAAGAGATTAAGAACCTAACAAACTAGCTGGGCTCACTCAGCTAGCGATTCCAGATGGGTGTTCTGAACCCATGCTCTGAAGGGATGAGCTGAAAGAGATCTCTACATCAGGCTCCCCACGGATTTCATTCCTGCCCTGATTGCTACTCTGTGTTCTGTATGTTTCACCATTGCACTCTGAGGGGCAGCCCCAGGGATCCACTTGTAACTAACAAGAATAGCAGCTTTGAAAAACCCTCAAACACTCTGGCCTCCAAACAGTCTCTCTGGAGGGCCCCTACACCCCTTGGGAATGAGGGTTAACTAAGAGCTTCCCAAACAGTTCATTAAGCCTTCATGAGGGAAAGACTTTCCATATACCCATTTCATGGGTTGGGGTGACTGAGACTGAATTAGACAGGTCACTGGAGGACATTATAAGGACATCCTTTAAGTGACCTGGGCCAGATTAGAACAGGTGAAGAAGTGTTATATGCATCGAGGGAGCTCTGGCCCCTAAGGAACCAAATTCTGCCTTAGGCTTGGATCCCGCTGTAGCCTTCCCAGTCCTTCAACGTTTCCCTCCTAAATACCTGGCAAACTATTCAGCTCACCCCTGCCTCAGGACCTTTGCACGCACTTTTCCCTCTGCCTGACACAGGAATCTAACTTCAAGTTCCAGGTTAATGCTGCCTCCCTAGAGAGGCCCTCACTGACCCTAATCAGTGACCCTCAATCTAAAACTCCCGAGGCACTCACAAACCTACCCCCCTATTCCTTTTCCTCATCTTTTTTCACCACCTAAAATTATCCTGGACATGTCACTTAAATATTGTCTTGTCATCAGAGTGTTCGCTCCATGAGAGCAGAGACCTCATCTGTCTACTCACTGCAGTACCCCCAGCACATAATAGGCGCTAAGTTAAAGTGTACTGAGAATGAAGGAACGAATGAATAAATGAATTACAACCCAGAGGAAAATGGCTGGGGGTCAGACTTGGTCCTGGAGAATCTAGACGCAATTGGGCATGACTGGCCTGTTTTCTAATACTCACTCCTCTGGGATATTTCAGAGTTGAATCTTTCCTTCCCTCTGTCTATCTCACCCTCTGGGTGGGGGGTGGAGGGTAGGTTGGTTAAGGGGCCTCCCTGAACAGGACCCAGGGCCTGACACCGAAAGATATCCCATTCAGGGTCACTGAGCCCATATGGGCAGCCGCAGTGTAGGATCAAACTTCCAGCCACTCCAAGTGGGTCTGCCCTGAAAATATGCCCGCCCTGGGCAAGCCTGGGGAAAACAGGCATTTAGAGGGTCAGATTGAAGGCTTCAGGGCATGGTGCCTTGAGCCGCTTTTTTTTTTTTTTTTCCCTTTAAGTTTCTATTGCTTTTATTTTATTTTTGGCCGAAACTTGCAGCTTGCAAGATCTTATTTCCCTGACTAGGGATTGAACCCTTGCCCCCAGCAGTAAAAGTACTGGGTCCTAACCACTGGACACACCAGGGAATTCCCAGCCCTAAGCCTCCTTGACTCCAGTGGCCCCAAAAGCTCCCCAGACCGGCCATCTGAGCACCCACAAAGGAAACCCCTCATTCTCGGGACCTCTGTCAGTGACAGTACGAAAGATGCCTGGATGAGCATCACAGGGGCAAGCCTCCTATGCACATCAGAACAGCATACACATAGGAGATCTTACACACCCTTTTCATACTTTTGTTGTGCCTTAAAATGCAGTAGTCTTGCCTGGAGAATTCCATGGACAGAGGAGCCTAGCAGGCTACAGTCCATGGCATCGCAAAGAGTAGGACACAACTGAGCGATTAACACACACACAAAATGAGGAGGGTGGGAATTCCCTAGTGGTCCAGTGGTTGGGGCTCAGTACATTCACTGCTGTGCCGGTCCTGGGTTCGATCCCTAGTCAGGGAACTAACATCCCACAAGCTGCACAGAGCTGCCAAAGAAAAAATAATAATGATAAATAAAAGGGAGAGGGCAAATATAAAAGCCCGAAGGGCCTGGCAAGACCAGCAGGCTTGTGACTGGAGGAGAGGTGAGTAATGGGGTGGGTGGGGCCTTCGGGCACACCCCCACGCCTGTCCTGAGGCACTCAGAGTCACCTTGGTTAAAGCATAAGCACAGCCAAGCCAAATACCAAATGCCTGGGTGGGCCAGAGTCTGCAGGGGCCAGCTTGTTTGTGACCCCAGAAAAACCTTAACTCCCCGGGCCGGTTTTCCACTCAGTGACCCGTGCTTTCTACCCCAAGTTGAGGGGCCAAGTAGGGGAAGGAAATAGAAGCTTCCCAAGGTAACAGGAGACCCTCTTCCCTAAGTGTGGGTGGTTGTTGAGTTGCTAAGTCGTGTCCAACTCTTCGTGACCCCATGGACTGTAGCCCGCCAGGCTCCTCTGTCCTCCACTATCTCCGGAGTTTGCTCAAACTCATGTCCATCGAGTCGGTGATGCTATCTAACCATCTCATCCTCTGCTGCCCCCTTCTCTTTTTGCCTTCAATCTTTCCCAGCATCAGAGTCTTTCCCAGTGAGCCAGTGTGGGTAAGAGGAGGGAAAGCCTGGTTTCAATACATGCATCCCAGTTTTGGTTATTCAGGATGTACTTTATTTTAAGTATGTATTTATTTATTTGACTACAGTGAATCTTGGTTGCAGCTTGCAGGATCTTAGTTCCCTGACCAGGGATCGAACTCAGGCCCCCTGCATTGGGGGCTCGGAGTCTTAGCCAGTGGTCCACCAGGGACGTCCCTTAACGCGTATTTTAGTAAGCGCTTCCTGTAGGCCAGGCACTGTGAGAGGGAAGGATAAAGGAGACCAAGCTGAACCCTCAGGAACTGGCATCAGGCAGGGAGTTGACATTCAAAATACAAAGTTATGTCACCGCCTGTGTGCTAAGAGCCCTTTAAAGGGAAGGAAAAATGCCCTGGTGCTCATAGGAAAGTTAAATTTCAGGACACAGAGGATTTTGGAAGGGAGCACATTTCCCCAAATCCCCATCCTCTCCTGCACAGGGGAGTCCAGAGTTCCTCTCCAATCTCGCAGTCTGACAAAAATATCAC